CCTCGGCTGCGCCGAGGATGCGCTCTTCAAGTTCGACGGCAAGGCGTTCGCCGCCGACCGCCAGCAGCTCACCCAGGACTGCGCGTGTCAAAGCTTTCGCCTCCTTTCCCCTCCCCCCCCATTCCCCTTCCTCCTTCCTCCTCGCCCTCTTCGTTCTCATCCTCGCCCCCCATCCGCTCCTCGCGCCCCCCCCCCTCGCCCCCCCCCCTCCCCCCCTCTTCAACCGGCGCCCCCCCCCCCCCCCCCCCGCCCCCTTCCCGGCCCGCGCTTGGCTTTGGTTTCAGCTGCTGCTGAGGAGAAGAAGGGGGAGGGGGGCCGAGAGGGGCGAGGAGGGGGGGGCGGGGGGAGGGCGGTAGGAGGGGCGAGAAAGAGGAGGAGGAGAGGATGGGAGGAGGAGAGGAGGGAGGGGAGGAGGAGGAGGAGGAGGAGGAGGAGGAGAGGAGGGTCCGAGGAGGAGGAATGAGGGAGGAGGAGGAGAGCGGCTCCCTCCTCCTCCTCCTCCTCCTCCTCCTCCTCCCCTCCTCCTCCCCCTCCTCCTCCTCCTCCTCCTCCTCCCCTCCCCTCCTCCTCCTCCTCCTCTCCTCCCCTCCTCCTCCTCCACCTCGTCCTCCTCCTCCTCCCCCCATTCTTCTCATGCCCCTGCTCTTGCCTTTCTTCTTCCCCATCCCCCTCCTCCCATGGCCAAGCCAGGGGGGGAGGGGCGGGCGCGTTCTGCAAACGGCGCTGCGTGGATGACGGCCCGCCCTGCCTCTCATGCGTTGCTCTGCTGCCCCCCCCCCCCCCTCCTCTCCGCCCACCCCCCGCCCGCCCCTTGTTCCTATTCGCCCTTCCAGCCGCTCCTCCCCAAGCACCCCTCTCATCGCATGCAATGTTAATTTGCGCCGGAGCTGCGTGCGAGGCTGATTCCAGCAGCGCGGCGCTTTTCGCGCGTCGCTGTGAGGAGGAGAGCGGGGACGCGAGCCGACGCGGGATGCGGGGCTGCCGCTGACACCTCACCCCTCGGACTCGCCCCCCCCCCCCTCCTGCGCCCCGCGCCGTAGGCTGCAGTCGTTGACGGCGGTGGCCGAAGGACGGCGCGAGATGAGAATTGGTTGCGGCGGCGCGCTGCCAGCGCTTCGTTCGCGGCCGGCGGCAAAGGACAGGCAGACATCCTGCTTGAGGCCGCGGGCCAGGAACGCAACGAGAGGCTCGCCCCCTCCCGCGGCCCCGGCGACGCGCGGTGCAGGGCAGTGGCCAAGGGAGGCAGCCCCGCGGTGCCACTGCTGGACGGCTGAATGGAGCACGCGGACCTGCTGGCGCAGCTGCCGCGCGCCGGCGCAGGGTCTGAGGCGTCGCCAGGGGCGCCCTGCGGGGGCACGGCTGGCGCTGCCATCGAGGCGCTGGCACGAAGCAGTGCCGAGCTCACTGGGGCGCCGCGCGGCGGTTCGCTTCTCGCGAGGCAGCCCCAGCGGTGGAGACATTGTCAGCCAGTCCACTCTGCTCCCGCCATGGCGGTCGGCGCAGACGCCGACGGGGAGACTCCTGGACTCGCGAGGGCAATGGCGCCACGCGACGCCCACGCAGATCAGGCGAGGTTCGCGTGGAGCCAGGCGCCGCGACCAGCGCCAGCGTCGCGCGCGACTCGACGCAGGGGGCGGCGGCAGGATGCCGCTGCCCGGCCGAAGGCCGAGAGGCCCAAGACGCTGGGGAGGTGCGTCTCGTTCAGGGGCGGCACGCAGGGCGGTGCCAACATCTATCCAGGCGGGGCCACAACCACCAGCGATACATCCTCCACCATCGATCAGGTCTGGACCTAAACGTTGTTTTTTTTTCGGTTTGCTGTCGTCTTGCCTTTCGTCTTGCTCCACCTGTTTTCCTTCGCTTCCCTGCAACGGCGAAGAACAAACTACGGTCGAAGTCCAGCAAAACAGCGTTTAGGTCCAGCCCTGCCAGCGACGCCGACGACTTGGCTGAGAGCACGCAGCAGCCAGTTTCGGTTTGCCACAGGCAGAACCGCAGGCTCGATGGGCTGACGCGCAGCGTCTCGTCGGCGTCGAGACGCCCGGAGGCCCGGCCTGCGACAGTTCGAGCGGCGCGTGGCGACGGCGAGATCAGCGAGCATCTCACGGTTTGCGCGAAGACCGCTCATCCCCCCTTTCTACCCATGTGTCCTGTTAGCCTTTCGACCAGGGTCCTTCTGCGAGGATGAGAGATTGCCATCTTTTCTCCTCGCCATCCTCTACCTACAGATCATACTGTAGGTTGGACTCATCGGTCGTTCACCTCCGTTCACATCTCGGGCGCAGCCATGGACCTAAACCAGCTGGAGCGTCAGAACTCAGAGCAGAGTCGGGACATGAGCGCGCCGGCGCTGCCAGCAGGTCATCGCAAGCGGTTGTTTGGAGTGGTTCGTCGCGGCCGTCATCCTCACAAACTGCGCATTCATCGGGCCGCAGGCAGATTGGGCCATCCACCACCCCGGGGAGGAGCTGCCGCGGGGGAGTGTGCCGGGAGCGTTTGTTTGGCCTTGGCATTGCGAGGCCGTCGCCTCCCTCCTTCGGCCCGAGCGGCCCGCGGCGCGAGAACTTGGCGCTGACGCAGCAACAGTCGGGCGTCGCGAGGCGCCGACTGCTGGCATCAGAATTCGCAAAGGCATTCGGTGATCTGTGCGGCTGCGCAAACTGCGGGAAACCGGTGCGACGATAGGTCCTGCGCGCCGCTCGGGGCTTCAATTTGGCCGCTCGCGGGGGGCGTCAGCGACGGGTTTGAGCTTCCCGGGGCCCCAGACCGACCCCGCTGAGCTCTGCCATGGCAACGTCGTTTCACACGGGCTAGGGATGCCTCGGAAGAGTCTCCCAGTTCAAGCATCCCTCAGACTTGTTTCGAGGTGACTCGCGGGCGCCTCCAGGACTCCAGGACCTCTCGGGGAGCCGCGCGTTCACGCGCCCACGTGTTGCTGATCACCCTGCCGGAACCTGGGTGGCTGGGTGGCTCGGTGAGGTTTATCGTTTAGGAGCATGGGGTTTTCTTGGATCTTCCCAGGCCCCCCCCCCGCCCGGGCGCGCGCTTGCGGGGCGAGGTGCCTCGGCCAGGTCGGACGCTGCCGCCCCGCCGAGGCCCAGGCGAGCAGGCGCTCGGATCCGCCCGATCTTTTCTGGAACCCCGCCACATTCACTATAAAGGGCATCGCTAGAGTGCTGCGCGTTCCATGGTTTCCACGGCCAATGGCCGCAGCGGAAGCAGCGTGGTCATGGCATCACTAGTGAAGGCTTCTGCTTCGCGTGCACAGGGGGCCCTGGGACCCTCTGCCACAGGAGAATGTACTTCCTGGCTTCACCGTCCGATCGAGGCCAGTTAAACAGTTGGAGGCTCGGGGCCAGGAGACCGAGTTGGCGGGGCGCGTCATTTCCCCCGGCCCCATGGGCCCCGCCCCTGCCCCCCCCTGTCCTTCGATTTTGAATGTCAGGTTTGGTGGGTCAACCGACCTGCGTCTGCGTCCCCTCAAGGATCTCGTTCGATGACGGATCGGCTCTGCGTTATGGCGGTGAGTTGTCCCGCGGGGCCTTCTGGGCCTATTCGATGACGGACGAGCGCGGGGGCTTCCTTCATGCGCGGGGCGCGGCATCATCCGATGCTGCCCTGTTTCATCAAGCCAGGGATGGCGTGGACGCTGCCGTCTTTCTTGTGCGCGTTTGCGCGCACGAGCCTGTCGGATGTTTATCTACGGCCAGGGCGCGGTTGCCCAGGGCCCCGGCAATCCCACGTTTCTCCTGTGGGCTAGGATTTGGCAGCGTTTCGCCGACGGACTCGCGGTCAGACCAAGGGCCATGCCACTCCGGAGGGCAACAGAAAGGACACATAATTGCCGATGAGCACGCGCGCCGAGGAGCTAATTTTGGTGCCACCCAGATTGCTCCGAGGCGGCGCGCGACATCCGCTCTCTCCCCCGCCTGGCGCAGGCGGTGTCTACGTGGGCGGGCGCCCAGCAAGTGCGCATCTCAGGCGGCACTCTGCAGTGCGCCGAGGAGCTGCATGGCCACGCAGAGCCAGGCGAGGGCGCGAGCCGCGCCAGCAGCCCCCCGCCTTGCGCGAATTTCTGGGTCGAGGCAGGTGTAACTGCGCACGGGCGAGTATGGGGTCACAACATAATGGTGTGATTTGACAGTTGTGCTATGCTGACGTTGTGGCTCACGGGTCCGAGATAAAATGTAGCGATGGCAGGGGGGCTGCGTTGATGACCCACGGCAGATAGCCAGACCACCGCCATGGCGGTGGACCCAACGACGTTGACCCAAGAGCCGCAGCAAGCGCTGGCAGGCCAATAGGGCGGAGAAGCGGCAAACACTGGTTGGACATGCTGGCGGCGACTGTTCAGCTGCAGGCCAGACAGGCGACGATGCTGCAACAGCACGTGCTGCAGATGGAGACGAGGATGCCAGGTAGCCATGCCGAACCGCAGTCAGACTGTGCCAGGTCTCGCGGTCGTGGACACTAAGACGCTCGGCCGAGTCGACAGGTTCAGGGGGGCTCGCAAGGATAGGACATATTGGCATTTCGCCTTGCGCGCGTTCCTGGGAGGCGCGGGCTCCAAGGCGACGGGGGCGCTGTACTGGGCGGCGGCGCAGGCGGAGACGATCAGCGGAGTGAGCATAGACTTGGAGGACAACCAGGCGGTCTTCCACAGACCCGATGGCCAGATCCACACAGCCCTCAGCCTGCTGGTCCAGGGCGACGCCCTAGACAAGCCGAGGTAAGTCCCAGAAGGCGAAGGCCTAGAGGCGTGGAGGAAGATCCTAGCCTACTACGAGCCGCTCAACCGCGGCCACATGCTGAAGCCGCTGCACCGCGCAGTGCACCCGAAGCCGACGGCAGGCAGCTCGCCGATGAAGAACATCGAGACATGGGGGGAGGCGGCGAGCAGATGCGAGAGGCGCTTCACGGCAAAGCTCGACCCTGACATGAAGATGGGCGCCTTCTGCCGGACCCCTCCCCCCCCCCCCCTTCCCCGGACAACCTGCGAGGGCACTTCTACCTGAAAGCGGAACGCTACCACTCGCGCGAGGCCATGCGCGAGGCAGCTATGCTCTACATGGAGGAGAAGACCGACCCCGTGGACGCCGAGGGGAATGACTCGGCCCCCATGGGCGCGGAGCAGCGACCCCTCGCGCTGGACGCGAGGCACAAGCACGAGAGGGCCCTGCTGGACCTGCTGCTCGGCTGGATGCCTCTGCCCGCCGCGTCTGGAGAACGGGCTGCTGAAGCGAGGCAAGGAGACGGCCTGCCGTTTGCGGCGGGCGGCCAGGTCAAGACGACGGGCTCGCAGCCCGCGATGTTCACCACGGCGCGTGACAACCAGGTTACCGTGCACGAGTTCGAAGTTGTTTATGAGAGCTGCGTACTCGTCGCGGTGATCTTCTCAGCAGGCAACGTGACCAGCAGCGGCTGCAGTGCCGTTCTGGACGACGACGGCAGCTACGTTGAGGACAAAAGAGCGGCCAGCGGCTGGCTGTGCACAAGCGAAACAACATCTAACGAGCTCGGGGTCGACATCGTCGACCCCGACGTGCGCGGCGACATGGGGGCCACGGCGCTGCCCGTCGAGAGCGAGGGGGTGAAGGAGGAGGAGCCGACCGCGATGGTCGAGCTCGGTGAGGCGCGGGCGATACACCATAGGAAGACACCCAGACAGCCTAGCGCCCAGGAGATCGAGGCTCACAACATCACCCACATCCCGCATCGGGAATGGCGCACGGCATGCGTGCACGGGCGAGGGCGAGCCGACCGACACTTACGGCTACACGGTGAGGACCGACTCATGCCCGTGCTGAGTTTCGACCCCTTCTTCCCTGGGCAGCGGCGCGATGACAAACCACCAACGGCGATGAGCTACTACGACGACGACGCCAAGCGCCTGGCGGTGACGATGCTGCCGTCCAAGTCCACTGGGCACCCCCATGCCTCGCGGTGGTTGGCGGCGCGGCGGCGAACATCGAGCTGAGCGGACACAGGGAGGCCATCCTGAAGTCCGACGGCGAGCCTGCATGAGGAAGCAGGCGATGGAGAAGGAGCAAGCGCTGGGCCTGAAGGCGCTGCCCTGGGCCCCGAGCGGGAACGCGGTGTCGGGTGACAGCCGGCCGCCGAGCGCGACGATGCGGATCGAGGCGAAGGCACTTGGGAGAGCCCCGAGCCTCCGCCTGGACTTGCACCGATACGTCCAGCGCCCAGGCAGATGCACGTGACGGCGCGGTTGCTGAGCAAGTTCGGGAGGGCCCCAGGTTGCGCTGCCTGTGGCGGGCGCGGGGTGGCCCGCGCAGACGCGCGCAGGACTCGGGTGTTGGGCGAGGCGTTCGCCGACCCGCTGGAGCGCGCGCGGCATGGACTCGACTACCTCTGAAGGGAGGTGCCGAGGCGGTTGGCCAGGAGGCCCAGCCGTCTTGGGTCAGCCGACCAGGCCCCAGCAGAGCCTGCGCCCGCGCCTGCTCGCCGCGGCTCGGCCAGCGACGCCGCGATGGAGGACGAGGTCGGGGGGCCCGGCGCGGAGCAGCACGTCGAGGGGGAGACCGACGCGCACATGGGCGCGCAGGAGGCTCCCGCGCAATCTTCGACCAGCATGGACACGACCGACGAGAAGCGGCCTCGCGACGCCGCCGATGACGAGGCAGAACCAGCACCCAAGATGGCGGCGCTAGCCGTGGTGCCCGAGGAGGAGGAGGGCCTGGACCACGGCGCCGAGCTCTTCTTCTCAGCGAACTACGTGGACGAGACCACGGGGCTGCCACCCTCCGAGCAGGAGGTGGACGAGGTCATGAAGTTGGAGATGCCGGAGTGCGACAAGCACGAGGTCTACGAGGAAGTGAGTCTGGAAGCTTGCTAGGCAGCTACTGGTGCACGACCTGCGGACTGTCGCTGGAAAGCGATCAACCAGGTGGACTCGCAGAACCGCGACGCGAGGGCGAGGCTAATCGCGCGCGAGAAAGGAGGACAAGCCTGGATTGGAGACGGCCTTCGCAGGCGAACCGCGTCCGCGGGCGTTTCGGGCGCTATGCTTGAGCGTTCGGTCTGGCAGGGTCCGAGGGGGAGCTCCCAGGAAGCTGAGGATCATCGACAGCAAGAGGGCCTTCTGCCACGCGCTGCACGGTGGCAGCGTGTGCGTCCCCCCCCCGCGCCTTCGAGGCACCGGTCGATGCTGGCGACTGCGCAGGGCGATGCGCGGCGCGCTGTCGGCGGCGAGAGACTTCCAAGACATGTTGGTGGGCGACCTGGCCAAGCACTTGAAGATGCAGGGGGGCTTGAGCAGCGCCTGCCTCGTCCACGATAAAGCCAGGATGCGAAGCTGGACTACCACGGGGGCGACGTGGTCATCGAGGGCACCGAGACCGAGCTGGACCTCGCGACCGAGGAGTTGGGCAAGCATTTCGGCCCCGACGAGAAGGACGACGAGATCGGTTTCCTGCGCAACAGGCCCGTGACCAGGGAGAAGGGAAGGCTGTTCTGGGAGTGCGACCCCAGGCAGATCGAGCTGGCGATCGCGGAGCTAGGCCTGGCAGGCGACGAGCCCAAGTAGACGCCAGAGACGAACGTGACCAAGCTGGAGCGGGAGGCGGCCGAGCCTCTACCCCCCGCTGCGATGAGGGCACACATGAGCGCGGCGGCCAGGATCGGCTACATCTCCCACGACAGGGTCGGCCTGCTCTACTCGGCGAAGGGGCGCCTGCGCGCGATGCAGGTGCCGACCCAGCTCAACCTGAGGCAGCTCAAGCACATCGGCAGGTACCTGGCGGGCACGCCGGGGGTCGCGCTGGAGTTCCAGGACCAGGCTCGGACGGAGACGGCGACGGTGATCGGGGACACCGATTACGGAGGCTGTCCTACTACAAGGCGCAGCACCAGCGGTGGCGCGGTGCTGGACGGCGCAGACCCCCTGATGGCCTGGTCGGTGACGCAGGCGAGCCGCTATCAAGCGGCGAGGCCGAACTGCGCGGTTGCGCGAAGGCGCGCGCGGCGGGACTCGGAGGAAGGCGCTGCGGGTCGGGGCGGGCCCCCCGGCCGCGCCGGGCGTCGCGCGCAAGATCGGCCCGGGGAAGCTCGAGCATATCGACGCCAGACACCTCTGGGTCCAGCACGTGCGCAAGCAGAACAAGCTGGCGGCGTTCAAAGTGCTGGGGACTTCGAACGGCGCCAGTCTCATGACGAAGTACTTGGGCACGAGCACGCTCAAGTCAGACATGGAAAACGCGGGCCTCGTGAAGCTGGAGGGCCGCGGGGAGAAGGCGCCGCGCATGGACGTAGATGCGCAGGCGATCAGCAGGGCTTCTGTACAATTGATGATGATGCTCGCCAGCCTTCCAAGGGCCGAGGCGAAACAGGAGGGGATGATGACTGGCCAGGTGATGAGCATCCTCCTGCGCGCGCTGACTGCAGTGGCGATGACGGCAGGTGCTTTTGGCTTTGTTGCCGGTCGCTGCTGCAGGGCTCGGAGGGCCGATCCAACTCCGAGGTTCCCCGAGCGGACCACTGAGGTGATATTTTCGTAAGCGAGCGTGCGCGGACGCGGAAGGCGCCTGCTTCCGTGGTGGTGCCCCAGTTTGGGGAATGTCTCCATTCTGACGTTGGGTGCCAGACGCTACGTGGCGCAAGCTCGAAACTGATGCGATACAGGCCCTGCAAGCTGCGCTGCGGCTAGAGGCTCGATTCGGCAACTAGATGCCGTGCGGGGCCATGTTTGATTGTCAGGTGCTGACGCGCCTGCCCAAGGAGGACTGCGTACGGATGAGTACGGGGCCACAGCATAATGGCGTGATTTAAAAGTTGCGTTACGTTGACTTTGTGGCTCGATGGCCCGAGGAAAAATGTAGCGATCAACTTCGAGGCCCCCGGGAGAAGCGTTCAGACCCGTGCCCCCCCCAGGATTCCGGGCTCCGACTGCCGCTGCAGCTCCTGGGGCCGAACTTCCGTGTGACCAAGGCTTTTGACGCCCAAGAGGCGACTGCTTTGTCGGGCCCCAGGTGCATCGCTTGCACAGTCTGCGGAGGCTACGCCTGGTCGGCTGCCCAGAGATGGTCCGAGCCTTGCAGTAAAGGCCCCCCGCAAAAAAAAATATGCTAACGAAGTTCCCCACATAAAGATGTTACGGGGTTTCATTGCTTCTTGTCTGCGCTCTGGTGGGGCCTCCCTGGAGGGGTGGGAGGGGCACGAAACCTGATGAATAATATGGTTTGCGAATACCCTGCCCGCTCTGGTGGGGCCTCCCTGGAGGGGTGGGAGGGGCACGAAACCTCATACATAACATGGTGTGCGAATACCCTGCCCGCTCTGGCGGGGCCTCCCTGGAATGTTGGGAGGGGCGCGAAACCTCATAAATAACATGGTGTGCGGATACCCTGCCCGCTCAGGCGGGGCCTCCCTGGAGGGGTGGAGGGGCACGAAACCTGATAAATAATATGGTGTGCGAATACCGGTGTGCGAATACCCTGCCCGCTCAGGCGGGTCCTCCCTGGAGGAGTGGGAGGGGCACGATTCCGGATAAATAACATGGTGTGCGAATACCCTGCTCGCTCAGGCGGGGCCTCCCTGGAGGGGTGGGAGGGGCACGAAACCTGATAAATAACATGGTGTGCGAATACCCTGCTCGCTCAGGCGGGGCCTCCCTGGAGGGGTGGGAGGGGCACGAAACCTGATAAATAACATGGTGTGCGAATACCCTGCTCGCTCAGGCGGGGCCTCCCTGGAGGGGTGGGAGGGGCACGAAACCTGATAAATAACATGGTGTGCGAATACCCTGCTCGCTCAGGCGGGGCCTCCCTGGAGGGGTGGGAGGGGCGCGAAACCTGATAAATAACATGGTGTGCGAATACCCTGCTCGCTCAGGCGGGGCCTCCCTGGAGGGGTGGGAGGGGCACGAAACCTGATAAATAACATGGTGTGAGGAAAGGCATGGTATGGTATGGGATGGTGGATGCATTGTATGTTATGGTAAGGTATGGTATGGAGTGGCATGGTATTGGTATGGTATGATACAGTATGGGATGGTGGAGGAAGCGGGAGGAGGAGGAGGAGGAAGAGGAGGAGGAGGAGGAGAGGATGTTCTGGGAAAACAAGAACCCCACTCAGGATGTGGGGGAAAAAACTAAACACACCCGTCGTCAGTCGGCTCGCGTTTGGGAGCGCGATGTCCCGTCCGACGACGACAACAACGACGACGACGACGACGATTATGAAGACCGCTGCGACGATGACACCAAAAAGGCGCGTCGGGCAGGTGGACCTCCATGGGCGGGCCAGACGATCGGGCCAGGCGGGCAAACTCTAAGCGGGTGGCGGGCCGGCAGCACGGTGGCGTATTCCCAACAGGACATCCGCGAGGGTTACAAACACGAAAAAAGGGGACGACGACTATTATTCCGACGATGACGACGAAGGCAACGAGGAGGGTCGGGTTTGACGGGGCCGTGAAATAGCGCGCAGTCCATTTAACACGACATCCACGAGGGCGACGACGACGAAGGTGACGACGACGTTGACGCCGCGCCGACGACGGCGACGACGACGCCGACGACGACGACGATGGTAATGATAAGGGATGCAACAACGACGACGGGGATTACGCGGGCGACGACGATAGTGATGATGAGGGGTACAGCAAACGAGGGCGGCAAGGAGGAAAATATCGACGACTGGTACAAGGGCGACGGCTGCCGTCTTGGTAGTACGTGGGGCCGTCAGGGGCCATCGTGGAGCCGTGTTGGGAGTCTCTTGGGGCCATTGTGGCCCAGGGGCCGTCTTGGGGCTATTTCGAGGCCTCTAGAG